TGTGAAAGGTAATGAGTAACTGCAAGCGAAGTTAACCGGTAACTGCAATGTGAAAGTCTATGTGTAAACTGCAGAGAAAGTTGATGTGGAACTGCATCTGAAAGTTGATGAGTTAATTTGTAAGCGAAGTTTATGAGTAGCTGCATGTGAAATGATGAGTAACTGCACTGAAGTTAATGAGTAACTTTGCAAGCGAAGTTGATGAGTAACGGCATGCGAAAGGCGACGAGTAACTGCTTGTGAAAGAATTGATGTGTAACTGCATGTGAAAGCTAATGTGTAACTGCAGTGAAAAATCGATATGTAACTGCGTGAGAAAGTTGTTGAGTAATTGCAAGCGAAAGTTTACGAGTAGCTTCATGTGAAAGTTTACGAGTACCTGCCTGTGAAAAATGATGAGTATCCCTGCATGTGGTTAATGACGAGTAACAGCATATGCGAACGATAATGAGTAACTGTATGTGAAAGTTAATGTGTAACTGCATGTAAAAGTTAATGAGTAACTTTATGTGAAAGTTAATACTGGTAGGTTGGTTAATGTGTAACTATGTGAAAGTTAATACTGGTAGGTTGGTTTGTGTAACTATGTGAAAGTTAATACTGTAGGTAGGTAGGTTAATGTGTAACTGTATGTGAAAGTTAATACTGGTAGGTAGGTTAATGTGTAACTGTATGTGAAAGTTAATACTGGTAGGTAGGTTAATGTGTAACTGTATGTGTGAAAGTTAATACTGGTAGGTAGGTTAATGTGTAACTGTATGTGAAAGTTAATACTGGTAGGTAGGTTAATGTGTAACTGTATGTGAAAGTTAATACTGATAGGTAGGTTAATGTGTAACTGCATGTGAAAGTTAAACTGATAGGTAGGTTAATGTGTAACTGCATGTAAAAGTTAATACTGGTAGGTAGGTAGGTTAATGTGTAACTGGATGTGAAAGTTAATACTTGTAGGTAGGTAGGTTAATGTGTAACTGCATGTGAAAGTTAATACTGGTAGGTAGGTAGGTAGGTTAATGTGTAACTGGATGTGAAAGTTAATACTTGGTAGGTAGGTAGGTTTAATGTGTAACTGCATGTGAAAGTTAATACTGTGTAGGTAGGTTAATGTGTAACTGTATGTGAAAGTTAATACTTGTAGGTAGGTTGGTTAATGTGTAACTGTATGTGAAAGTTAATACTGGTAGGTAGGTAGGTTAATGTGTAACTGCATGTGAAAGTTAATACTGGTAGGTTGGTTTATGTGTAACTATGTGAACGTTAATACTGGTTGCTAGGTATGTTTGTTAATGTGTAATGTGGGATCACATTATAAAATAAATGTTTTTCTCCAAAACACGTTGGCCACAATTACTCATACCCTTTTATTAAATACCTTTTTGCAATCTCTTTTTGCCAAGATAACTGCTCTGAGTTTTCTGTTATAATGCCTGATGTGTTTGCACAACACCTGACCTGAGATCAGAGACCATTCCTCCATACAGACTCTCCAGATCCTTCAGATTCCCAGATCCATGTTTGTGCTTCTCTTCAGTTCGGACCACTCATTTTCTATAGGGTTCTGGGACGGTCATGGCAGAAGCTTCATTTTGTGCTCCCTAACAAATTTTTGTGTTGATTTTGATGTTTGTCTTGGATCGTTGTCCAGATGGCAGATCCAACCATGGCCCATAATAAGATTTCTAGCAGAAGGTGTCAGGTTTTGATTTTTTTTCTGTTGATGTTTAATAGAATCCACAATGCCATGTATCTGAATAAGAAGTCCAGGACCTCCTGCAGAAAAATAGGTCCCCAACATTAAAGATCCAATGGTTTATTAAATTGTACACATGGGGTACTTTTTATCCTCATGTCCACCAAACTATCTAGTGTGCTTACTGCCAAAAAGCTCTTTTTTTAGTCTCATCTGACCACAGAACCCTGTGCCGTTTGAAGATCCAGTCGTGTCTGACACCTGAATATGCTGGAGTTTGTTTTTGGAGGAGTGAGGAGGATCTTTCTTGAAACCCTCTCAAACAAATGTGGGGTTGTAGTGGTTGTTTGATAATTTTTTTTTATTTAATACTGGTAGGTAGGTAGGTTAATGTGTAACTGCATGTGAAAGTTAATACTGGTAGGTAGGTAAGGCAAGTTTATTTATATAGCACATTTCATACACGATGGCAATTCAAAGTGCTTTACATAGAAAAAATTAAATAATCAAAAGTAATCAGAATAATTAGAACAGTTTAGAATAAAACATGAAAATATAAAATTATTATAAAAATAAATACAGTAAATAATTAAAACAATTTAGAATCAAAAATAAAACGTAGTACGCAGTAACAGTCGGACGAACAGTGGCAAAATGCACAGCTAAACAGATGTGTTTTGAGCCTGGATTTAAATGTGACTACTGTAAGAGCTCACCTGATCTCTTCTGGAAGCTGGTTCCAGTGGCGGCTGTTGGCATAATAGCTAAAAGCAGACTCTCCATGCTTAGAGTGAACCCTTGGTGTTTCTAGCTGATGTGAGTGATCTAGGTAGGTAGGTTTGAATAAGCATCAAAAAATGATTTGTGCACTATCAACATTTCCATTAGTTTTTTAAAGTGCCTACTAGGCTGTTTTTATTTTGCAGCTCTCCTACAACAGGTTTACATTAACCCAATGTCAAAAGCACTATTTTACTCATGCTGCACATCACTTCATTTCTCAAAGCAGACTGATCTCATGAAGTAGCGTGTGTATGACACGCCAATTCGTATTTCCATTTTTTGGCGTGCTATCAGTAAGGTTTAATGCCCGACGAGGTGTCTATTGTCAGGTTTTAATGGACGACGGCGAGGCGTGAACCGGCCGACGTGCAGCGGAGGACGAAGTCCATTAAAACCTAACAATGGACACCTCGGAGGGCATTAACCCGCTTATACCATGGTCACTTGCCAAATAAAACATTTTTAAAACATTAGTTTATATTTTAATTAGGCTAAATCTAGTTTTTACAAATAATAACTTGCCTGACGGTTTATTTAGCAACCGGAGATATTTATAGTCCGCTCAGCTTGTAGAACCCTTAGGTTCAAAAATGCATTTTTTTTTTCATGAAACACAGGTAGGCATAGTTATTTTTTTATTACACATAAAACAATTAATCAAACAAAAATCAGAAAAACACAAAAAAAAAACAAACAATTAGTTCTGAGCACCAGCGATTTGCGCTTATATATGGCAATAAATTAATCAGATCAAAGAGAGGGTCATTTACCTATAGCTACATTCTACCTTTTTTATTTACAATTAATTTCAACGTTTCCATTTATAGTGCAATTTGAAAAAGTCGGCCAGTCAGAAGGATCCACAAAAGCTGGGTAACGTTACTGCTGCCCATCATGGGCACTTGATGTAGACAGTAGCACTACGTCGACTACGTTGCTCCAGCTTCGTCTCTCACGGACAGACGGAGCCGCCCGCAGACTGCTCTCGCATCGATGGCCTGTCACCGTCATTATTTGACGGCTCTCCAGTCCAGCATCGGAGAGTCCACCTACAGCATACCAGTCGTCAAAGTTGCCATATTCTCCATTAATGTTAAAAGAAATAACGAAGTCGCTCAATGTTGTATTAGGCTATAGAATCTAACGTTAGATGTTTGTTTTGATAGACCTTTTTGACTGCCTGTTGCTATGGTTACTCACAGCTGTTGTAGGCAGCGCATTTATTTATTTATTTCGAATAGTAAACAGGCAGTTTCACCAGAACTACTTTACTAGGTGTCCTCTATCACTTTTTAACGGACACCCTGCAGCCAATCAGAATCGAGTATTCACCCAGACCATGGTATAAAAGCGGGTTTAATCCTCCGAGGTGTCCATTGTCAGGTTTTAATGGACTTTCGGCCGGAGTCATTAAAACCGACAAATGGACACTTCGAGAGGCATTAACCCTTACTTAAGGAGAACTCCGGCACAAAATGAACCTTTTGGTCTAATTACACATTTGTACCTAGTCAACCGTTATCTTCGAGATTTGATATTTTATACTTTTACGGTATATTTTCCTGCTTTTTTGTCCTTAGCCATATCCCATGCCTGTTTGATGCAAGATGCAAAATTTGATGCTGAAAAATTGATTCAAACAGGATCAGGTTATTTTATTGTTTAGATAGATTTAGATAATAAATATATAAATATTAGACATTTTTACTTAACATTTTGATCTTTACCTAAATGTTTTGTTTTACAATGGGGGTAATTTTTTTGTAAGAGTTTATGCACACATGGAAGCTTGATCACATTCTTTGAACTTAAATTTGAAAAAAGTAGCACAAATAAATACAATAGAATAAAAGAACAAATAAAGGACACTTTGTGGTTAGTTTTTTGGCTTTTGAGTTTCGATATCTCAGCTCTGGAAGGGGCTAGAGCCTCCATTTTTGCACTCAGGTCTAAGTCTCATGCCCTCTATCAGAATCCAGAGTTTTGGAAGATTGGAGAAACTTAATTTTTCGCCCCAAAAAAAAAACGTAAGGGGTACCACTGTCGTTTTTTTTTCGGGCCGAATTTTTGAGTTTCGATATCTCAGCTCTGGAAGGGCTAGAGCCTCCATTTTTGCACTCAGGTCTAAGTCTCATGGCCCTCTATCAGAATCCAGAGTTTTGGAAGATTGGAGAAACTTAATTTTTCGCCCAAAAAAAAAAAAACGTAAGGGGTACCACTGTCGTTTTTTTTTCGGGCAAAATTTTTGAGTTTCGATATCTCAGCTCTGGAAGGGGCTAGAGCCTCCATTTTTGCACTCAGGTCTAAGTCTCATGGCCCTCTATCAGAATCCAGAGTTTTGGAAGATTGGAGAAACTTAATTTTTCGCCCAAAAAAAAAAACGTAAGGGGTACCACTGTCGTTTTTTTTTCGGGCCGAATTTTTGAGTTTCGATATCTCAGCTCTGGAAGGGGCTAGAGCCTCCATTTTTGCACTCAGGTCTAAGTCTCATGGCCCTCTATCAGAATCCAGAGTTTTGGGAAGATTGGAGAAACTTAATTTTTCGCCCAAAAAAAAAACGTAAGGGGTACCACTGTCGTTTTTTTTTTCGGGCCGAATTTTTGAGTTTCGATATCTCAGCTCTGGAAGGGGCTAGAGCCTCCATTTTTGCACTCAGGTCTAAGTCTCATGGCCCTCTATCAGAATCCAGAGTTTTGGAAGATTGGAGAAACTTAATTTTTCGCCCAAAAAAAAAAAACGTAAGGGGTACCACTGTCGTTTTTTTTTCGGGCCGAATTTTTGAGTTTCGATATCTCAGCTCTGGAAGGGGCTAGAGCCTCCATTTTTGCACTCAGGTCTAAGTCTCATGGCCCTCTATCAGAATCCAGAGTTTTGGGAAGATTGGAGAAACTTAATTTTTCGCCCAAAAAAAAAACCGTAAGGGGTACCACTGTCGTTTTTTTTTCGGGCCGAATTTTTGAGTTTCGATATCTCAGCTCTGGAAGGGGCTAGAGCCTCCATTTTTGCACTCAGGTCTAAGTCTCATGGCCCTCTATCAGAATCCAGAGTTTTGGGAAGATTGGAGAAACTTAATTTTTCGCCCAAAAAAAAAAACGTAAGGGGTACCACTGTCGTTTTTTTTTCGGGCCGAATTTTTGAGTTTCGATATCTCAGCTCTGGAAGGGGCTAGAGCCTCCATTTTTGCACTCAGGTCTAAGTCTCATGGCCCTCTATCAGAATCCAGAGTTTTGGGAAGATTGGAGAAACTTAATTTTTCGCCCAAAAAAAAAAACGTAAGGGGTACCACTGTCGTTTTTTTTTCGGGCCGAATTTTTGAGTTTCGATATCTCAGCTCTGGAAGGGGCTAGAGCCTCCATTTTTGCACTCAGGTCTAAGTCTCATGGCCCTCTATCAGAATCCAGAGTTTTGGGAAGATTGGAGAAACTTAATTTTTCGCCCAAAAAAAAAAACGTAAGGGGTACCACTGTCGTTTTTTTTTCGGGCCGAATTTTTGAGTTTCGATATCTCAGCTCTGGAAGGGGCTAGAGCCTCCATTTTTGCACTCAGGTCTAAGTCTCATGGCCCTCTATCAGAATCCAGAGTTTTGGGAAGATTGGAGAAACTTAATTTTTCGCCCAAAAAAAAAACGTAAGGGGTACCACTGTCGTTTTTTTTTTCGGGCCGAATTTTTGAGTTTCGATATCTCAGCTCTGGAAGGGGCTAGAGCCTCCATTTTTGCACTCAGGTCTAAGTCTCATGGCCCTCTATCAGAATCCAGAGTTTTGGAAGATTGGAGAAACTTAATTTTTCGCCCAAAAAAAAAAACGTAAGGGGTACCACTGTCGTTTTTTTTTCGGGCCGAATTTTTGAGTTTCGATATCTC